AATTTTATATAACAAAAGGTGTAATAGTTATAAAAATATAACCCTAAAAACCCTAAATACACAAATTGTAACACAATTAAAAATTCTCAACACCCACAATCAAAACAAATAATCGCGTTTTTGTAAATATATTTTAGGTTAGATTACCCCCATCTGTCAGATTTACTGTCAAATAAATGCCACTTAGCGGCGTTCAACGCCGTCCATTGTAAGCAGGCACAATTTCAAAACGTTGCGTCGCGATTGCGTTGCGTTTGACGCCGTCGAACGCCGTCCCATTGTGTTTCACGCTTTAGTTATTATACTATTATAAAAATTAATTGAATTTTATTCCTAAATCCAATGTTTAACTTGTTTGTAAAATGACAAACATTAATTATTTTAAATTTATTTTTAATTAAATTAAATTTATAGGTATATATTTTAGGTATATACCTAATTACCACTTAAATCTAAGGTATTTTTAGTATTTGATCTTTAGTTAACCTTTTCAAAGTAGATGTAAAAACCATTATATATATTATTATTATTATTATTATATTATAATTATATATTATTTGTTTTATTACATTTTCAATTAAACAAAAGCTTTAAAATTTATCAGAAAAAGCTTTTTACAATTTTTTATTACCTACCCCAAAAATTTCAACATTGATACGATAAAATAAAACATTAAGTTAATCCTAATAACAATATTTTAATATAAATATTTTCGTGAAAGTAATGTTTAAATTATTATAATTTTATTTTCTAAGATGACATTTGATTTTATAACCAATAGGCAATCTACTTTCCATATAATAGGAATAGAATAAATTTTATGTAAATCTTAAAAAGAGAACATTAAATTTTTTTAACCCATTAAACGTTTAACTTAGATCATAAACTTTAAATTCTTACATGATGTTTAAGCCAGTTTCTATAAATATAATTAATTTTTATTTCTGAGTGAAAATACTTATTAATATTTATGATTTGAAAACTGTGTATTCTTATTTATTTACGTATGTATCAAAAATGTTTTGTTGTTTGTTTTTGTATTGGATAATAAAGCAAAAAAGATATAATAACAGCTTTTTATTATAATCTACAATGAAAACAACATTTTATGACACGAAGACTAGATAGAAAATGATTCATATTGAGTTTGTAATGAGTTAATGCCAACCACCATGGCTACTGGCATAACCATGACCGCCTTCAGAGATGTGACCGCCTCCAGAGATGAGACCGCCTTCATAACCGCTGGAATGTCCACTGAAACTTCCTCCGTAGCTGCCGCCGTAGCCACCGCCGTAGCCACCGCCGTAAGCACCACCGTAGCTACCTCCGAAACCGCCTCCAAGACCGCCTCCAAGACCGCCTCCAAAACCACCTCCAATACCACCGCCAAGACCAGAGCCAACTACTCCAGCAGAGATTCCTACATGAGAATCGCTGTGTACTTTAACAGGTACTGGTACTCTGACTTCGACTTTGGTGGGTACCGAGACTGGGTATGGTTTTGTTACCAACACTGGGTATGGCTTGTTGACAGTGACATGTACTGGAGTTGGTACTTTAACGTAAACAGGTTTCTTGATATGTACTGGTACTGGACGCGGTACTTGTACGGGGTATGGTTTGTTTACATAGACTGGTACTTTTACTGGTACTTCTACTCTGTATGGCCTTGGTACATCGACGTGTCTGGGTACTTGTACTGGAACGGGGTATGGACGGTTTACTGGGACTGGATAGGGTTGTGGGACTGGAATTGTTACTTGTTGTTGGTAACGGTGGATGATGTTGCGTACGTTTCCTCCGTTTTCAAGAGCGGCTGCTCCGGCGCCCAAAGATCCGGGGAAAGATCCAGTAATAGCTCCAGAACCAAATCCACCAGCTCCCAAGGCACCAGCTCCTAAATCTCCAGCTCCCAATGCTCCAGATCCAAGAGATTCGGCCCCGAGTGATCCAGATCCCAAACCAATTCCAGATCCAAGACTAAGCCCTTGTCCATGTACATGTTCATCACTTCCGATTCCAGCGGAAAGTCCTACGTTGATTCCAGAGTGTCCACCACTGAAATGTGCTCCTGAATCACCAGCAGAAAGTCCCAAATTGATTCCAGAATGTCCTCCGCTAAAATGTACTCCACTTAATGAACCACTGGAGTATGATCCCAATCCTGCCCCGGAGGCATATCCAGATCCATACGATGACTCGATTGGTGGTGTTAATTCGGTGTGAACCCCTCCGCCAAGTAAGCCACAATTTCCAAGGGAAGATAAGGCTAACAAAGCAGATACCACCTAAAAATTAATCCAAAAATAAAATTAATATACAACGTACAGACTTTAAAATATATTAACTTACCACAAACGACTTCATGGCGTATGTGTAAAAGAAGAAGAAAAAGAATGAAGTGATGACTACTGAAAAGAAATTTTTGGTATATATAGGAAACCACACCTGGGATGAGATGCAAAATATAACTTTCACACGATAGATAATATTCGGTTGGCCCACTATTTCGATAAATTGTCTCATCAGAGAAATTATAGGTGATTTCCTATCTGCATTAATTATTTAATTACCAAACAGATTTATATTAATATTTTTGTTTCATTTGCATCATAAGATTTCTAAATACAAAGTTTTGGTTTTTAATCAGATTACTAAATCTCGTCGAAGTTATTGTGTAGGTACGTTAAAAAATAAAAATATATTTAAAAAAATAGATTTGTTTCTTAAATGCACAATTTTGCAAAGTAATTGCGCAAATCAAATGTATGATTTTAATGTAAGATATTTTTCCACAATAATTGAACTGTGTTTGTCAATGATTTTTTATTATTAGGGCACAAATGCGCTCCTTAATAAGAAATTCTACTTTTAATTTTTCGGTTCAATATTTAATAATTTTTAATGAATGTTTTAAACCAGCCTGCAAATTTGTCGCTATAAACTGTTTGCTAACAATATATGAAACTAATTGGGATATAATTTATTTTTTAAAGTTCTCAATATTTTTTCAAACAATCAATGAATTTTAAATTTTTTTTAAATAAAAATGTTTTAAGTTGTATCTGCACAATGTAGGTATGTAAATTTCTGTTCCGAATTTAATTTATGACATTGCAAAAACAGAAATATTTGGTGAAAGTAAAGCGGAATTTATGAGATCAAAAGAAAGGGCTTGCATTCGTTTTAAGATATTTTACATTATAGGATTTATTATTTAAATAACAACACCAGACAAAAAGATATAAAGATATACATTTTAGTTTACCTACATAAATCAATAATATATTGCAACACGAGTTTTCTGTACTACTTTTTTTTTATTTCAACTATAATTTATCAATAAAATTAAATAAATCTTGGAAAAAAACAAGTAGTTTAATTTATTTTACTAGGTTGGCACAATTGACCGGAAGCGAAATGTCAAAATTAAATAAGGTTATTCATACCAAATTTATTATTAAATTATTTTATCTACTACTGGTGCATAATATTGGGTTTTTTTAGTAAATAATGATAAAAATTATAAATACCCAGGAATAATCAACTCATTATTCAGTGATTTGCCGATTTCAATATTCACTGTGATTTGAACCAATCGTATTTTAAATTGGGAGAAGGCGATTATAATAACATTTAAAATTGGTAAAAAGTGAAGTTAACTATTTAAAACACCTCAGATTTTATTTAATTATTTTTAAAAATCATTTAATTATCTATTTATTGTAGTAGATAGAGTATAGAATTACACTCGAGATTAATAATCTGATTATGTAAGAAGTAATAATTGATATTTCGTAAACTAGATTTTTTTTTTGTTTTTTAAAAAATGTTTGTTAAAACTTGTAAATACCACTATAAAATCGTAAACAAAAATCCAATATGGAGGCTAAAATTTAATCGCTGTTAAATAGTTCTAGTGATTTAATCGCTTATTTAAACGAAATTCGAAAGTTCAAGGCTTTTGATTGGTTCATATTATAATGAGGGAAACAATCAACTTTAAAAACTTTAGAATGTGGTACTTTTTTATTTTTATTCTTTAGTTTAATAATTTTTTGTAAATGATTTGAAATATAAATATGAACTTATTTATTACGATAAAGTAAACAAGAATATTTAATATTTTTAAATTTTATTAGTTTGTGTTCCAAACTCTATAAGACTAAAATATCGAAAAAAATTGAAATACATTAGTGGATTATTTTATTACATAATCTTTAAAAATTTATTTATTTAGATATACTATTTAAAATGTGTGTGCAACAGGGAATTTTCAAAGTTATTAAAAAGTTTCTTGTAAAAAAAATTAGTAAAAAAATTTCAGTTCATGGTTCATGAACCGGTTCGCCAGCGGTTTAGTTCCAAAACCGTTCATGTAACCGGACCGTGTGTGAAACATTGCGTAAACCGGTCCAACAAAAAGAAGTGCGTTCCGTTTTGAAACATTTACAGTGTAAACCGCCAAAAACGGTCCGGTCCGCAAGTCGTTTATTTAATAGGAAATATTAAAATTCAGTTAAAAAATTATACGAACAAATTATGGTTTTCTTAGAATTTTTACTACACATCAATATATGTGACCCGATCTGAATAAAGGGACCTAGGGTCCAAAACTCATTTTCGAGATAATCAATATTTTAAGTAGTAAACGATCTTTTGAAAGGTCCAGATAAAGTATGTGTTTCTAAAAAATTGACATTGCTATTAATTTTTAAAGTCGAGCGTTAATAAACGCCTATGCCGCGTGAACTTCCATAGCTTCTTTTGTAAAACTTAATTTTGGATTTGTATCCTTGTGGTCTGTTTTCTCGGATCGCGTCAAATATGGTGCTGTTTCTTCGGTAGGTTAAACGAATTTGTAGTGATAGGTCGATAAAATTTTGGAGATACGTGGAGTTGCATTGCCAAATCGATTTGTTTTTCAAAATATCACTTGTTCAAGTTAAAATAAATTTAAACGTTTTGTTAAACAAAAAAAAATATTATATTAACTTAAGATTTATTAATTTACAAATATAAGATTTAATGTTTTTTGTCATTGTTGGTGCTACGGGCTACTTGGTGATGATTGTAACCGAATCCAGAACTAGCAGATCCATAGGAGACATCAGAAGCAACTCCGGAGGAAATGCCTGAAAAACCGCCAGAGATTCCAGATAAGTCAGCGCTACCCAGTCCAGACGACAAAAGGGATCCAGAACTATAGGAAGCGTCAGAGATTCCAGAGCTGATTCCGGAGATTCCGCTTTCGTATCCGGAACTGATTCCAGAGCTTATTCCGGAGATACCGCTTTCGTATCCAGAAATTCCACTACTGATTCCGGAAATTCCGCTGCTGATTCCAGCAGATCCGTATGATGAACCATAGGAAAGTCCAGATCCGAAGGATCCGAGACCGGAAGCGTATCCAATTCCGTTTTCAGAGCTGATTCCAGAGATACCACTTTCGAATCCCGAGTTAATTCCAGAGCTGATTCCAGAAATTCCGGAGCTGATTCCAGAAATACCGCTTTCGTATCCAGAGTTGACTCCAGAGATTCCGCTGTTGATTCCAGAGAAACCACTTTCGAATCCAGAGCTGATTCCAGAGATACCAGAATCGGCGATTCCGGCAGAAAGTCCGGATGATCCATAAGAAGAACCGTAGGAGAGTCCAGATCCGAAGGATCCGAGACCGGAACCGTATCCAGCGTTAAGGGCGAAAGGTGCTCCTTGACGTACACTGACTTGTGGGGTCAAGTTAAGTTGTCCGGATTGGCTGCGGGTAGCTTGTACGCCAGAGTTGACAATTTGTGGTACTTTAACGACAATTCTTTGTGGTACTTTGACGGCTACTGGAGTTGGTACTCTGACAGCGAATGGTTTAGCGACTGGTACTGGTACTTGGTGTGGTACACGTACAATGACTGGTTTTTCAATTGGTACTTCGATTCTTCTGGTTACGACTACGGCGTATGGTTTTGGTACTTCGACGGGGTAGTTTACTTTAACGGCTACTGGTACTTGTACTGGTACATTGACGGCGTATGGTTTAGGTACGCTGTAAGTGACGCGTTGTTGAACTGGGACTGGTACGTGTTTGGTAACATGTACGTGGACGGGTTGTGGTACCTTCACGGTTCTGGTGATAGTTACTGGGAAGGGTTGGTTGACTGGTACTTTGACGTGTTGAGTGATTTTCCTGGTGGAAGTGTGGGTAGTTTCACCTCCATGAACTCCGGTGGCAATACCGGCGCCAAATCCACTGGATACTCCAGAGGCAAATCCACTAGTAGCAAGACCGGCAGATCCAAGACCCAAACCAGCGGTGGCCAAACCGGCATCACCAGCTACGAGTCCTCCGGAAAGACCAGAAGAGTATGTACTGTATCCGGAACCAAAAGATCCCAAACCGGCTGATTCGATGGAACCAGCTCCAAAACCATAAGAGCCCGCGTTCAACCCAGCAGAAGAGGCACCAAGATCTAAAGAACCAGCTCCGATGGAACCAGCACCAAAACCGATGGATCCAGTGGACAAACCAGCAGAAGATGCACCAAGATCCAAGGATCCAGCACTCAAACCGGCGGAGGAGGAGCCGATGTTCAAAGAACCAGCGCCAAGAGAGAGGCCTGAGCCAAAGCCAGAGCTTACTCCAGAGCCGTAGGACACATCTGCAGCGCCACCAAGGGATCCAGAGCTGCTGTATGAGGAGAAGCCGTTACCTCCCAAGTTAGCGGAGTATCCGCCGTTTAAGCCAGAAAGGCTGGAGTATCCGTGTCCAGAAAGACCGTGGCCTCCGTAGATTGAGCCATCTCCAATGATGCTACGTTTCTTTTCTTCTGTTTTCTTGGCAGAAGAAAGGGCCACAAGGACCACAAGGGCGGAAACCTAAATAATAAAATTTGTTACGAACATGTTTTAAATACGTAAACGTAAAATTATTTATAATTATTCTTACCAACAGAACTCTCATGGTACTGTATCTTTGAAACTCCTGGGAGTGAATGATGATACCTGGTAAAAAATATCTTTTATAGTAATCAACGAATCGAAGGACAACTATACGAATCAACTTTTTCAATTGTTAAAAGGATATGTCGTGACATTTCAGGATCCTCCGCACTTTTAGCACTAGGGTCAACTAGATTTGTTTCCTAATTACATAAATACTAATAAAATACAGAATTTAATATTTTTTTCATTTTATGTTAAAATTATTCATTTAGAAACATATTGTTTTGTATTCAATAGGTTAATTAATTTCGTATGAATTTTCAAACAATAGTTTTGCCAATATTGGTAAAATTTATTTTTTTTATAATTTTACAAAACTTCATTATCTTGGTGTACATTTATAGTAATAAATTAATTATAACCAATTGACCAATTAACAAGCTACTAAAGTTATGCAAATTAAAACATTAGATTTCTGGTAAAAGTTACATGTAAAAAACACTATCTGCACCTTACTATTTTAGCTTTGCACCATTATTATGTCGACATGTCATAAGTAATTGCAAAAAGTATGTAGGATACATTTATTTTTATTAAATCAGTATATTATAATTAAAAACATGCAAAATTTGATAGCTAATTACACTGATTAAGCTTGTTTCAAATATATTTCATTAATAATTTCTATAAACCAAAACATTTTTTTAATTAAAATGTTTGTTTAACTTGGCATTTATTGTTTGTAAAAATTTTGTAAAATTAGTCAAACGTTGCAAACAGTGTCAATTACGCTGCAACTATAAAACTAGTTGATATTTTATACATACGTTTATATACAGGGTATCTCAAAAGTTAAGGACAGCAGAAAAGGAGTGGATAGAGGTTGGTCTTTGGCGTTTTTGGATCATTAATTAGTTATTATTAAAATAAAGTACCTAGCCAATCACAGGCGTGTTTTAGCAGAATGATTAGAGGTGGAAGAACTATAATGTGCAGCTTCATCTTAGAAATTCTTTATAAAATCGTAGTAATTTTTTGGGTTGACATTGTCACTATCAGTGTTTTAGTTTTTGTTAGTTTTTTGGGACATTTTTTTTTTAGGAAAAATTGGTGGCCCTTAAAAGGGTAGTTCTTTAAATAGACTTTGGTCCGACTTTATGGCAAAGACTTTTCAACTTCCCATCCTCTATCCACCCCTTTTCTGCTGTCCTTGATTTTTGAGACACCCTGTATATACTTTAAATACTCACTGGCGTGGTATTGCATTTTCGAAACCTGCCCAGCTAGCATTTATGATTTTATATTGACGTCTGTCGAAAATCTGACGTCAGTAGCGCATACGCGAATGTCAGCAATATGAAGTCAGACTGAAATCAGATGTGATTTTTGTTACTGCTGACGTTGGCTTTGAAATCATACTGATGTCAGAATGAAATCAGATGTGATTTTGTAAAGAGACTGGTAGAAACCGGTAGAAAGAAAACTTTAAAGAATAAGTAAAATCAGTCGAGATTTTTGGTCCCGCTGACGTTGGCTTTGAAATCATACTGTTGTCAGAATGAAATCATACTGTTGTCAGAATAAAATCATATGTGATTTTGTAAAATGAACAGGTAAAAAAAAACAATTAAAAAAAAAATATTATTTATTAAACTTTTAAAGAAAATATTATTTATTAAACTTAAACTTAGTTGTCCGAGTAATCACAATGACTAGAACTTGATGAAGCCGCGGCTTCATACGAACCACCTAAATCCTCTTTCTCTAAGTCTTTTTGTGTTTTTTTTCTTGCGACCGCTGTTGAATGACGGCTTTTTGCTGCTCGGATTGATTTTTTATGATTTTTTAATACTGATTATAAATTCATTCATGTCTTTTGGGCCAACAATTTGTTGTCTTAAATCTAGCTCCAATACTGCAACTAAAATAATTTATGACATTTTTTTGTGAATGTAAATCTAGTTTTAGAAATGGAGAAAGGCCTACAAGTGGTTAAATGATATTTCATAAAGGTCTCATTTATTAGAAAAAAAAAGAAACCCCCAACAATTGTTGGAAAATGAGCTTTTTTTGTCCGAGCAGGATTTATTTCCGTGTAAGGCGTAGCTAGATAACACATCTATTTCTGTGTTGCCTTAAAATCTTTTTCAATATTTAGGTATAATAAAAAATATCGGAAAATCATATGTGATCTCATACAGACTCCAGTATAAACTCAGGCGTGCTTTGAAACTTAGAATTAATTATACTGAAAATCATATGTGATATCATATATGTATGCATACAGACTCCAGTATGAAATCAGGCATGCTTTGAAACTTAGAATTATACTGAAAATCATATGTGATCTCATACTGACCTCAGTATGAAATCAGGCGTGCTTTGGAACTTAGAATCATATTGAAAATCATACGTGATCTCATACAGACCCCAGTATGAGAACAAACATGATTTTGAACTAATATTCGCGCCCGATCGAAACTCACGTGGGTATGCATACCCATAACCATGGTTGTTTATTTGTATTTGTCCCATTGTGTATAGTCCTTCGTAGGGGACTTTAAGCCGGAAGTACGTTCCTACCCCTTACCCGCACAAGCTATAGCTTGTGCGGGTAAGGGGTATTATCGACGATACACAATGGGACAAGCACAAATAAACAACTATACCCTATAGATTACATTACATTACATCTAAACGAGAACTATATATAAGCTATAGCTTATAAGCTTAAATAAAATTAGCTTGTAAGCTTGGAACTTATAGAATAGGTACCCTTAACTGAAAATCATGCCTGATCTCATACTCACCCCAGTATGAAATCAGGCATGATTTGGAACTTAGAATTTATATTGAAAATCATGCGTGATCTCATACCGACTTCAGTATTAAATCATACATGATTTTGAATGACAGAAAATCACATCTGACCTTATACTGACTTCAGTGTGAAATCACAGAGGGAAAACAAAATCACAGATGCTATCTGTCTATCTATCATGTATAAAAGCAAATTACCTTAAGGTAGTTTATTATTTAGAACTTATTTAGAATCTAATATTTAAATAAATATATCCAAAAAACTAGGAGTAGATAATAATATTTATTTATGTGATTAGGCCAAGAAGTGAGTCTTTTTGAACTAAGCTCCAAGTTGAAATTGAGGAAAAAGATAAATAAAACGTACCGTACAATTACAACAAGTACAAAGTGACGTTAAATCGATCTGACAGAAGTCGAATTTTTTAATTGGTCCAAAGTTATAAATGTGATGCGAAAAGGGACCTCTTGTTATAACACCCAAATTTGATTTTTTTTTCAAATACTATCTACACTTAATTTTAAACATTTTTCTATAGAAAGGGCTTCAAACTTTCAAGATGGTGCCAAATTTTAGTTGACAGGCTAAAGGATAAAAAATTTGCTTCAAAATTATTATTCTCTACCAGGTAAGAAAATCTATACAATTTTGAAAATCGATTTTTGATTCTGATCGACGTTTTGGTCTTTTCTGCGACAAGGGGTCCCTTTTCCCATTTTTCAGCACAAATAATTAATTTTTACGGCATAGGCCATTAATAACCTAACCCGATTGATCTAAATCTTGTAAGTGCCTTGGTCATAATCAATCGCTTTATTAACGAGTGTTAACAACAACAATAATAATTTGAATAATCAGAGACTGTATTCTTGGAAATTGATCTATTGAAAATTTGTACAGACTGATGTTTGTAAACGTGTTTTTTATAACAATGTTCATATTATAACACTCATAAGCCTATATAGAAAGACTTTATTTTTGTACGCAGTTCAAAAGCCAAATTATTATACACCGCACGATAATGAAATTTTTATTTAACTGTTATTTAACGACCTATAGGTCGTTAAATAACAGTACATCAATAATGTA